GATTCTCGTTTGTCTAACTATACCTGTATTTTGTTTTCAATGTTTACCTAGAAGACATGTCTTCTTCAAGAGCACCTTGAATCTGTCCAGAAGGAGTTCATAATTTTCAACAGAGAAAAGTAAGTAACTCCTAGGAGAACAGCAGCCCAGAAAATGATGGATTGTTTCAGCCAGACTTTACTTGCAGAAACCTAAAATATTCTTAACATTTTTTCACTTTTTTCTAATTACAAAAATGATGTACATCCATTATAGAAAACTTGGAAAATTCAGAAACCTTTTTTTTTCCTTGTAAGTGATTTAAAATTAATTTTTTAATAGGTAAATTAGCCTAGCATCAAGTTTTTGCTTATGGGAAGAACAGAGAAATTGGAATTTAAACATTTAAAATCTATGATGTTTTTAAGCTTTCCTTGGCTCATACCTCTTTATATAAATTGTTGGGCTTAATGCTATCATTTCAAAAGCTTAAACCTTTTATTTTCTTTTCAAAGAATAAAACCCTCTCTTTTTTTCCTTTTAAGAGTAAAAAGGGACTTTAATAAAAGGCAAGCAAATCTAGCCTTGGAACAAACCAAAGACCCACAAGAAGAGGATGGCCAGGATAACAACTTATGAACACCTCAGAATCTTCTTTTTTGGGACATTTCTTGGTGCCTCTGCCTTGAATTTCTGATTATCTGGTCAAGAGCTGATGCTGCTTCTTGCCCCTCCACACCTCATGACTTAGAAAATGTGAGAGAGAATCTTTCAAAGGAGGCAGCACAATCCAGTGAAAAGCACTTCTGGGATCTAGTTCCACCACCAAATGTCTGTGACCTTGAGCCAGTCACTTAGCCACCATCTCTGCTCCAGTCTATTCATCTAAAACGAGAGGGTTATACTAGATGAGCTGTGCCCTGCTTTTTAATGCTACAATAGTTATTCTAAACAGCTTTTGTTTTTATTTTAAAAGGAGAATTTGGGTATAGGGTTGTATTTCCACTTCTTCTAATTACCCAGTGATGAATAAACACGTGGACATAGGTCTCACTGAGGCTCTTCAGAGCTAGAAAACTTCATAAAGAGGTCAGAATCCCCAAGCCTGGTTGCATAGGAGTAAGGAATTCCATCACAAGAAATGATTGGGGCCAGATTAAAAGTAACATGGATATCTGAGGACCTTCCAGTGGTGTGTTGGCACCAGCATGGCATCAGCTTGTCAGCTACAAGAGCCTACCAGTACATCGATTCCCTACTCCCTGTGGGATGTGAAGTTAGTAACTTGAAATTGGGGATGATGGGAGTATTTACACCAAGGAGATTGGCAAATGCTACAAATCAGGGTTGTTGTTTCCTCCTTGCAAGCCAGTTGCTAAATACTTGCCTTCTTCCAATAAGCATGTTCTTTGAGGGCTAATTGTCCTCTAAAGATTAGCAGAGATCTATGTCTGGCAAGGATCAGAAAAGAATATTGTCACACTGAGAGCATGCTCACTTTGCAGCTCAGTGAAGTTGCATCTTACATGGGGGTTACATTCCAAGTTAGAAGTGAATTTGGAAGATAGTAAAACTTACCCCTTGAAAAATTCCTTAAATTACCCATAACAGAGCTTTTCTCAGTGTAGCCCAGTACAATGAGTCACCCTTCAATAATGAAACAAGTTACTGTTTTGTTTTGATTTTGTTCTTTA